CCCCAAAACCCCAAAACCCCAAAACCCCAAAACCCCATATAAAATATCTGAAACTGAAATTTTTATATTAATTTTATTTCCACAATCTCATGAAGAACTTTTGAAGGAAAGGTCTGAACCGGATGCTCGATGAAATATACTCATTTATAAATGTAGTAAACATATCTGCCGTGCTGATGCAACTCTATATTGTTTACTCAACTCAGCTAACTGAACCCATTGGGAGAGAAGGTCAAGGAACTTGTGCATTTGACGGATATTTTGAAAAGGAATTACAGGTTTGTCAGAATATTATCGGGCATGATTCAGATGATGGAAGCTTACTAATCGGATACTCTGCATGGCAAGATAAACGCTTTGATACTTTCCATGCTATAATTGGATTAGGATTAACAGCAATATATCTATCAATGACCAGATTTAATGTTTACTATTGTGCATGGATAGAGACAGCTCCAGGATTGTTACTTGGCATTTTGTTCTATTTTGCAAGAACTAGAGATTTCTGACTTGTGATTTTCAGAATTTTCCAACATGGATTTTATCTTTCTACTGATATTATGATGGCAATCTTGATCATTATCTATGTCATTGATGGGCTCTTGTTTCAGCATACTTTTGTTGGCGTGTGATACTTTTATTTGAGAAAAATTAGAATTGGGCGACCATTATTAGCTTCACTAATCATTACATCAGTCATTCTAATGAACATATTTCATATAGTGATTAGTAAGAATTTTGAATCAATTTTATCCTTGTTCGAAAATAGCTTCTTTGCTATTATTGCTCATAATTCTTTACATTTATGTTTGCTTCTATCTAGTATTAATTCAAGAAAGAGACTCGGGAGCACTCTAACCACTACATCTTGCATGTTTGAATTAATTTATCTTACTCTGATGTCTATTGATATAAATTTCAGTGTGAATTATTTCTACATATCTTCAAACCTCAAAAACACTTCTACTGCTCAAATGATATATGCTCTCTTCTTGATCTCTCTGCACATATTCCTCAACTCAGCGTATATCTACCACCAAATATACCATTGCAAGCATTATGAATCCGAATATGCCCACGCACCCATAACCCAAACACACAACTTCTCCAAAGACTTCACTCCATTCCAAATCCACAACTCCCAAACCCCCGACTGCAGCTACTGCCTAAACAACATCACAGTCCCTCCTCTCGAAAGAGCCCTCCCTTCCTCCCTCGACACCTCCTTCCTTCCAAAGTACAGCCTCTCAAGCTCTACCACGTACATAGAATCTGACTGTCATCACTTCTTCCACCCTGTGTGCTATCTGAAACTGAAGAACACTACTGGTGAATGAGTGATTTGTGGCAAAATGTTTGGATATATTATTACTTAGAAATTACATCGGGATTTCAGTATTTTAGGTCAATGTTGGGGTTTTGGGGTTTTGGGGTTTTGGGGTTTTGGGGTTTTGGGG